CGACGACGAGCCATTGCTCAGACTCGACGGAGGTTTTCCATCGTTTTCAGCGTCCTGGGGGCCCTCGCCAGGCCTCGGGGCCGTCAGAAAACGATTCGGGACGAAAAGCCCGTCCCGGGGAATGGGTCGAGACCTTTGGGGTCGACGTGATGAAAAAAACATCACGTGAGGGGTCTGGGGAGGCAGCCGCCAGCGCAGCCGCGGGCGCTTGTGGCGCCGCCGCAGCCGTCTGCCCTGCGCCGCGAGGTGCGGGTGCCGCACGGCTCCCGGTCGTCGCGCTCGTCGTCCACGAATGCCTCCTCGTCGGCCCGCTCCAGCCCTGCCGCCGGCAGGGTCTCGTCCCTGCGCCTGCGGCTGGACTCCGCGACCAGGAACCTGCGCGTGCACGAGATGCTGCTGCGGTTCGAGGTGCGGGGGTCAGCGCCGAGCCTGCAGGACTGGGTCCCGATGGAGGTCCTGCAGGAGGTCCACAGGCGATGCCAGTCAGCTATGAACGAGGCGGCGTTCGGAGGTGCCAGGGTGGACGGCGCTCTCGGGGCCCTTCGGTTTTCCAGGAACGGAGTGGCGTTCTTGCATGCGGAGTGCACAGAGCTGATGCCCCTCAGCGCCGCGGCGGACCCGAGCGATTCGGAGGAGCTCGAGCTAATGATAGACATTAACATGCACGGGTTGTCGAAGCTTCGGATGCCTTGGCAGAGCGGGCGGAGCAGGGGCGCGTCAAGTCTGCAGCCGATCGACGAGCTGCCGACGGAGCAATGCGCGGATGACTCGGCAGAGCGAGCGGAGCAGTGTTGCGAATAGTCTGCAGCCGATCGACGAGTTTCCGACGGGTCTGTGGGGTGATGGCGATGTGCGGGCACGCGATTTGAGTGCGAGTCGTCAGGGGGGGTCTGTGCGGAGATGGAGCGGACGCTGCGCGATGGTGGATACAAGCGCTGATGGATGCAAGGCCGGTCTGGGGAACTTGTCATCGAGGCCTGATGCGACCCGCGAGCGCTCATTCGTGACTGTGTGGGGGGGTAATTTCCTTGTCAATTTCGCGCGCCTTTATCCAGTACTGTACGCTGGTGGCGAACAAGGAAAGACTCTTCTGATCTTCTGATGCGGCTTGAGGTTGGGGGGAGACGGCATTCACCAGGGGATGTCAGAAGTGCGGCAGCGTGTGCGCGCGTTTTCTGGACTGAGTTCGTTTTTCCACACTGATGGGAGATCGTGATTTCACGACTGTTTTGCCTTCGACTCCTCCCAAGGACAAAAACCTGGTCCCCCAACTTAGATATTCAGAGCGTGAATTACCTACCCCGCTTTCGCTTCCAGACAAAACCAAATCATGCCACGCGCCTCCTGGTCAAGCGACCTGACTGGTGCGGGCCTCAGCCTGGCATCGTTTGGGAACTTTTGGAAGCGAGGGTGGTCAAAAGCGAGGTAGGTTCGTTTGCCTTCTAGATATGTGGCCCAGGGAACCTCGCCTTGACCCAGTTCGCCCGGGAGGAGGAGGAGGAGAAGGAGGAGGAGGAGGAGGAGGAGGAGGAGGAGGAGGAGGCGCAGGAGCAGGAGGAGGAGGAGGAGGAGGAGGAGGAGGAGGAGGAGGAGGGGAGGAGGAGGAGGAGGAGGAGGAGCGGCTGTGGCCTGGCCGTCTCGTGGTTTGCCCTCCAAGTGTCTATATAGCTCGGGAACTCGGGGGAAGGAGCAGCGACACCACCACCACCACCAGGGGTGCCAACTCCAGGCGAGGAGGTCCACGACGCCACCCCGAGCTGGGGATGGGGAACGTCTCGAGCGAGAAGGGGGGGACCACACGACCACGGGGACCCCCCTCGCTCCTCCCGCTGGCGGCCCCCGGGTGGTGGTGGTGCGGCTATTCCCTTGTTCCGAGGAGCGGTGCCTGGTTTGCCCCTTGCGCACGTGACTCACATGTGGCTGGCTCCTCGATGTGTGACCCGGCCGGGCCCTCGCGGTGACCGGGCCTGCCCGCCCGCGTGTGACCCGGAGCTGCTGCCCTGAGTCTGCCCTTGCGTGCCGTGGGCATCCTCGGCGTCGTCTTCTGGGGAGCGGCAGGCGACTTCGCGCCCCCGGACGCCTGGCCCTCTCTCTCTCTCTTTCTCCCTCTCTCTCTCTCACCCCAGAAGTCTGGCCAGGGGAACTCGGGGATGCACCCCCGGGGGGCTCTTCGGACGCACCCCTCCCCCCGTCGTGCGTCCCCGAGCGGCGCGCCCCAGATTGCTTCTCCCCCTCGGGAGCCGCACGGAAGTCGGAGCATGGGGTCATCGAGGGCAAAAGAACCCCTAACCCGAATATCGTCGGGGAGACGTGGCCTCGCTTAGGCCCCCGTCTTTGCATTAGGGATGATAATTCTGGGCGGTTTGGTTTGGTACATCTGTAACAACAAACACACCCTATCCCATCCCTGATGTGTGTGTTGGCCCTCCTAACTGAGGTCGCCCCCCAAAGGGTTCAGGGTCCTTTTTTGGTGAACCATGGGATCGCCAGGAGGGGTGTTGAGGAGGATGGGGGCGAGAAGGAGGAGGGAGAGGAGGCTCCCTTGGCGGCGGGCTTCCTCGAGGAGCACAGCTATGCATAAACATAGGCTTTCGGTTGGCCGCGCAGTGCCCCCCCAAACCCCTCCCCACGACGGCGCTTCCAGCGCGCTCCCAAGCGCGCTCCGTCCGCTAGGGGCGGGGGTGCTGCGCCGATCTGGGGTAATCTGCGCAGACCTCCGGAAGTTTCTGTTTAAGCATCTGATGTCTTTTGAGTCCAGAGGGTCCAGGGGAGTCCATGGGGGCCCGGGAGGCTCTGAGATGAGCCCAGGACCGCCCCAGGAGGCCCACAAAGGGGGCTCCATACAACAAGTGCCTTACCGAAAGATGCGGAATTCAGCAGTTTTCCTGTGGTATCTCTGGCTCCTGCTGCCTCCACCAGCGCCTCGGAGGCGCCGAAGAGTCTGCTGGAGACCCCCAAGGGACAGCAAAACGAGCCCCTCCGGATGCGCCGAGGAAGCCCCTCCCCCGCCCCGGGGACCCCTGGAGGCCCTCAAACCGGCGGGCGTCCAACGTGGAGGAAGACCCTCTGCGGCCTCTTGTCAGGAGGGGAAAAAACACAGACACAATTAATCGTCGATCCCCAAGAAAAGATAAGAAAATATGGGAATTGGGCGGGACGACAAAACCCAGAAAATATAGGAAAATATGGGGAGTCAGTTGATTTGTGTGTATTTATTTGTGTGTCCTTTGGCCCCCTTGATCTTGGAACCCTCGACAGAGGAGACGTTCACGATTGAGCGGCTCAGGCGGTGACAGGACACCGAGCGCCCCCTGAGCGCGCACAGTGCGCCCAGGAGGCGCCCGATGGCGCATCAAGGGCGCGGGTAATTGAGCTTGAAGCCTCGAGGCCCCAAGAGAGCCCCAAGACGGCCCGGCACGGTCGACGGGTAGCCCAATGGACCGAAGATGGCCTCGCTGCATCCCCGTGGGAAAAGTGTATAACAGAAGTGGCGCAGGGATGGAAACCGAAAAGATGTTGAATCAGACCTGGCGGGGCCCGTCGCTTCAAGCGACATCCGCCTGTCAATGTTACGGAGAACCGTATCGTCTGCGTTACGCGTTGCACGTTCGCCATCTGACTGGTGGGAACGAAACCGCAAGGCAGAACGTGGAGCCGCCCACGCGAGCGGCCCTGTGAAGGATCAACTTGGAGGAGCACCCGGGCATTAAGTGGAGTTCGCCTCCCAATGTTGCCACTTGGCGCGCAAGCCACGGTGTGGCATATCAATGGCCTGGCCCATGGCGCGCGCCTTCGCACGCTGCCAATATTGACAGGCGAGTCTCACTTACTTATCCTCATTGGCCTTTGCCGTCTGAAGATCGTTCACGATGATCGTCTTTTCGATTTTTTATGATACCGGAGAAAAGCCCCAATCCGATTTTTCGCGCTATAGGGATATAAGGCTATAGGGCTAAAGGGCTATAGGGCTATTCGGCTATAGGGCTATAGGGCTACTGGGCTATTGGGCTATAGGGCTATTGGGCACCCCCGGGCACCCCCGGGCACCCGGGCACCCGGGCACCTGGGCCCGGCCACCGAAATCGGCCACGCACCTCACCGGCCACCCGGGCCCGGCCACCGAAATCGGTGACGCACCTCACCTAACCCTTTGATCCGCTAGGACCCCTACAGAGGCAAGCTCTTATTGGGGAATAACTTTTTCCGGGCAGTGTGGATGTCGAGCCTGTTTGGGCGCGCTCCAATCGTTGTGGCGGCAATTGCCTATTAGCGTCGGCAACTTCTGTCGCTCGAGCAGATGGAATGGGATGCGCGCGGTCCCTGATACATACCATGGTACCCGGACGGCAGCCGTGGTCCGTCGTGGCGTCCCTGGGAGGCTACGGGGGGGAACGCGAGGGCAAAGAACATGAAGATGCGACGGAGGAGGAAAACCAGGAAGGGGGAGGAACAGGAGGATTCGATGGAAGAGGCGAGTGAGGACGCGGATAATGCTTCGGCGGAGGAGCGAGAGCTAAACAGTGGCCGGCGATGTGGCGAGAACACATGTCGTCTTCGTCGTGGTCGTCGTGGTCGCCGTGGTCGCCGTCGTCGTCGTGGTCGTCGTCGTCGTCGTCCCCGTCGTTGTCGTGGTCGTCATCGTCGTCGTTGTCGACGTCGCCGTGGTCGTCGTCGTCGTCGCCCGCCGTTCCTGGCAATGACGGCTGCGTTCTGGGCCTGGGGCCCAGGACCTGCGCGTCGTTGTCGGAGGGAACTTCCTATTGGGGGGGGCGGGCTCACTGTAAAAATCCGTTGTTCATGGTGGCAGATTTTCGATGTCTGGCGAAGCTACTTAACGATTGGACGCGGGCGGGCTCAGGTTCATTGTGTCAATTCATGTGCGGGACGCGTTTCCCGTTGCCCAGGAGCCCCACTTAACGATAGGGCGGTGGGAGGTTTAGTGGGTAAAATCACACACGGGACGCACTTCGCGTAAAGTGGCGTGCCCCGGCGTGCCCACTTTACGATCTGTCTTTTTGTTTTCCGCGTCTCGTGCGTGCAAAAATAAGACGGGAAACACAAATCGTAAAGTGGAATTGCTTAGGCTAAGAACATTTTTTTATTGAAAAGCGTCTCCCACTTTACGATGGATGCTCCCCGCCTGTCTTTCACGCGCCAGACGCGGAAAAAAAACAAAAAACAACTCGTAAAGTGTGCGCGCCGGTGCATGCCTTTTTAGTGGAAGTGCGTTCTGTGTGTGAATTTACACACGAAGCCCGCACCCGCCCGATCGTTCAGTGGGATTGCCGGGCAACCGGAACTGCACCCCGTGTGTGAATTTACATGATGCGACCCGCCCCCCGGCCAAATCGCCAACGCGGTTCGTTGGGCGACGCCTCGCAGGCCCCATTGGTATCGTCAGTCCCGCAGGTCCCCCAGGCCTCACAACTCGCACCAATCCCATAGGCCCCGCAGGCCCCGCAGGTCCCACACGCGTCGCAGGTCCCACAGGTCCCACAGGTGCCACAGGTTGCACAGGCCCCACGGGTCCCGCAAACCCTACAGGTCCCGCAAGGCCCCCAGGTCTCTCGCAGGTCCTAACAAGGCCGACGTTTTGCACAGGTCCCACAGGTCTTACAGGCCCCACAGCTCCAACAAGTTTCGCAGGTCGCACAGGTCGCGCAGGTCCCGCACAACCCGCCGATCCCGCATGTCGCCCAGGTCCCGCATGTCTCGCAGGTCCCACGAGTCGCACAAGGCCCACAGGGGCACAAGTCTCACACGTCCCACAGGACCCGCAGGGCGGCACGCTAAAAGACGAG